ATAGTTTGGGATGTAATATATCTTACAACTCAGTGTAAACGGTTCCATAAAGTACTGTGAGCGATATTAATTTATATCTCGAGATGTAATATAAATTGTATTATATCCCATACCGGCTTCAGAGGTGACAACGGAATGCTCATAGCACACCACGCAGCCGGCTGCGTGGTTATGTGGAGACTTTTACCCACTAAACTCCACCTTTTGGGTTTGGCTTACTGATCTGACGAGAGATCTTTAAGTCGTAGACGGACGCGACCCTCCTTGGCAGAAAGGAGGGCGCAAGCGACGCAAAGCCGCTAAGAAGTGTGCCTAACTAAGGCAGATTAAGGGATGTGTTAAGTAGGCTCGGCCTGAGCCACAAGGAGGCAGTTCAGGTCAGCCAAAAGCTTGTCGGGGGGTCCGAGAGAGAGTTACTCGGTCTGCGCACACTATAGCGAGTGTGAAGAGGGGCTGCATAGGCAGCAGTCTCACGAATGAGATGATTTGGGTGGGACTCTGAGGCTTTGAAAATCTCTCAGAAAGTGATTTAAGGAACTGCTGGGTTGTTGGGAGCTCTAAGTCTCGGTGGAGGACGGCATTACGGACGTAATAGGGTGAGTTCGTGGCCCTAAGAATTGATTTTGAACTATTTGAAGTTCAATTATAAGGTTGGGTTTAGCATGTGCGAAAATGGGGGCCGCGTAGGTCATTACAGATCGTATACAGACCTTATATAGGGTTCGCTTGTTTCGGAGGGACATTTTACTGTATCTGCCCAACATGCTGTTGAGCCTACCCATATAAAATAGCGCAGTGCGAGTTACTTTCTTGATATGGGGCTCGAAAGTGAGCCTTGCATCAAGGGTGACGCTTAAATATTTTACTTTTGTTTGCCATGGTACAGGGGTTCCTAACATCCTGATTGGCGGAGTGGCAGTGAGACGGCGTCGTTTATGTTCGAAGCAAACGGCGGAGCTCTTCTCCGGGTTTACATCGATACGCCATTTTTGGAACCAAGCTCCTGAGTCGTTAACTGACTTTTGGATCTTATTCCGAATCTGTGGCAGAGAGTTGCCTTTGAAGTAAAGGGCTGTGTCATCTGCGAAGAGGGCTAGTTTAACACCATTCGACGGGATTGGGATGTCGATGGTGAATAGTATATATAGGAGGGGGGCAAGCACAGCGCCTTAAGGGACACTGGCTTTGATTTGACGAGTAGAGGATAGCGTGCCTTCGTGTCTAAAACGAAAGGTACGATCCTTCAAATAGGAGGCTACAAGGCGGACGAGACGGTCAGGGAGGCCTAAGTCGTACAATTTGTAGATAAGGCCTTCATGCCAGACTCTGTCGAATGCCTTGGCAATGTCGAAAAAGACCGCGATGGTCTTCTGACGACGAGGATAAAAACCGCTGAGGATATATTCCACTATGCAGTGAACTTGCTGGGGGCACGAGTGTTTGGCTCGAAACACGAATTGTTGAGGGATGACATGAGGGTCGCCGTCTGTGGGAAATAAATGGTGCCTCATGCGCACGAGAATAACTCGTTCGAAAAGTTTGCCCATGGCCTTGAGGAGGCTGATAGGACGGTGATTAGAGGGGAAGTGGTGAGGTTTGCCTGGCTTGGGAATGCCAATGACAGTTGCCTCTTTCCAAGAGGTGGGAAAATAGCTGAATTCGGCGTTGAAGATTATGGCCAATAAGGCGATCACCTGCTCCGGAAAGTGTTTGAGGGCTTGGTTGGATATTCCATCCGCGCCCGGTGCTTTTTTGGGCTTAAGTCCTTTGATGGTAGATGAAATCTCATCTTTGGACACGGTGATAGGGTCAGAGGTGGTGGGGGGTGAGTTCCGGCGACGGACCTCGTCCTCCACTAGTTTGATATGTAGGGGGTCAGTGGGTTGTGAGCTGGGAGAGCGTTGAGGCGACGCTGTCAGCGAAGCACTCAGCCTTTTCTTCATCCTCGAAGGCAATAGTGCCGTCGGGATGTGACAGAGGGGGAGTATGCGTGATAGCGTCTATCCGGAGTGCTCTCGCCATCTGGTAGTACGCTGTGTGAGAGGGGGAGATATTCTCCATGAGATTGTCCCTTCCGAGGTCTCTGAAATCTTGAGGCGGTAACGGAGTTTGCGTTGAAGGCGGTGGCCTGCGAGTCTATACTCGGGAGTGGGATAGCGTGCAGCTATACGGAGGGCAGCTTTTTTGGCTTTGAGCAGGTTGCTAATATCTAGGGGAAGATTAGTTTTAGCAACCGGGACAACCTTTTCATTCTCTTTAAGAGAGGATGTTATAAGAGAGGTGAGATTTTCGAGCGCGGTGTCTATTTTCACCTTACTGTCGAGGACGTCGGAAGAGAGGGTTATGGGAGGGTCCGGAAGTCCATTTTGGAAGTGGGAGTTGGAAGTGGCTGATGGTCAAGAAGTAGGGATACAGGGCGGTGGTCGGATCCTAGATCATCGAGAATCTTGATTGCTCTAAGGTTAAGGGGACTTTAACTTTCCTTTAACTAGAGCAAAGTCTAGCTCGTCAGGAGCGTAGTCAACGTTGTCGGGATATAGGTGACAGCGAGGGGGCCGTAGACAGTCAGGTCGAGGGACTGAGTGATATTCAGCAGCACCTTGCCACTACTAGTAGTAGTGCGGCAGGTCCATTCAGTATGCTTGGAGTTAAAATCTCCAAACATAATGACTGAGTCGCCTAATGCGAGGTTGGCTTCGAAATCACTCTAAACGGGAGGGTTCCGCTAGGGATATAGCAAGAGGCTATAATGATAGACTGGTGTCCAGTCATGGCTAATCTAGTGATATTGGCTTCCATACTGGTAAGCGTCGGATTGGGGATGTGGGAGCAATGAAGGAACTTTTTGTAATAAATGGCAGTACCGCCGTCTTTGCGGTCGGGTCTGTCATTACGAAGAAGTGAATAACTTTTGATAAAGAGGCCTTTAGAGACCTTAGGGCTGAGGTGGGTCTCCTGAAGGAGGAGGAGGTCGGCTTCGCGATCTCGAAGAAAGAGCCTAAGCTCTGGGAGGTTATTTCGCAAACCGCGGATATTGAACGAAACAAGCGACAAACCCTTTGGTTTGATACTACCGTGCGATATTGTGGGAGCAGAGGGCTCCGGCATAGTGTTATTACAACGACCTTAGTAGATCGATGTGCTCAGCAAGAGCAAAGAGACGGTCCTGAGAGAACTGAGCAGCGCGCAGTTTACGCGCAAGGATTGAGATTTCCCCTATGTTGACTTTACGCATAGTGTTAGACACTAGGTTTAAGTCGTCGGCTATAAGGTCTGCCTGTTTTTGTGGGGCGGCGGAGGGCCGCGGGATGTTTGTTTCCTTAGCGCCCCAAGGGTTAATTGGGAGCGGCGCAGGCTGGGATAGTGGAAGGCTCATAAGGGGCCGAGGAAGGCCCTGAGGTGGCCGATAGAGGCACTGAGGGGGCCGATAGATGCCCTGTGTGGGCTGAGATGAGCCCTGAGGGGGGCTGAGGCAGTGGCAGGCCCTGGCGGGGCATGCGGCTTCGAAGAGCCGGGAAAGATTAGTCATTGACCAGTGGTGAAGCTTTGTTGCTCAGAAGTGGGCGAGGAGCGCGAGAGCAGCCTCTAAAGTTGGCCGGGTGGCCTGTCTGTCCGCATAGGACACATGCGTTTTTGGGACGAGGGCACTCTTTTGAGTGATGGGGTTCGAGGCACTTAACGCACCTGGGTGGGGCTGAGCAGTTGGCCGCCGCGTGCCCGTAAAGTTGGCAGTGGTGGCACTGCGCCGGGTAACGCGCCTGTGTGGAGTTTCAACCCTTACTCGCGACAGGCCGCACACTGTGCGTACCTGACGGAATATGAACTTTGCCTCCGACACGTTAGAGAGTACGAGTAGGGCGAGGTTGAACCTCTCGCCCCTGCTGCTGTGCATCTTGTGCACAGCCTCAACAGGGAAGCCTTGGAACTTTAGGTCTTCTAGGATATCCTCGTTAGCGAGTTCGTAAGGAACTCCGCGGAGGACTGCTTTCACTTTCCTTTATTTGGCGAGAGCGTACGTGTGAAGGGACACGCGCTCGTCCATGAAGTGGCGGGTTTTATTCCGGAAGTCTTCAATAGACGCCGGCATGATTTTAATGGCCTCGCCGACATTGGTGGCTTGGTCATACTTGAAACCCTTTTCATAGAGGGTTTTGGAAAGTTGGGTAAATTTCGCCTTGTCTCTGAGAAAGATAGGGGGCGGGACTTGGCTTTTCGCCAATTTGGGAGCGCAGAGGGTTGCTGGCTTGGTAACAGAGTCTTGAGACTGACAGCAGGCAGCGATATGTGCTGCGGGGGTAGGGGCAACGACGGGGGCTGCGGAGGTGGAGGCAGCAACGGAGGCTTCGGAGGTGGAGGCAACGGCGGGGCTACGTGAGCGGCGGCAAGGGCCGCCGGGGCGGGGGTGAGCGAGAAGTCACGGCGCGCTTCGGGCCGCGCTTGCACTTAGATACTACAGTGGTAAAGGGGGCCGAGTCTGTGACCGTCCCTTCGGAGTCGGACGACTCCGAGGAGCCGGTGGAACTGTGTGCGGTCCTCTTTCGGGAGGATGAGGTAACGGACGTGGTGTCCGAGTGCCTCATGTCGGAGTCGGGGGACGCGGGCGAGTCGGTCTACGGGGCAGTCGCTTGGGTCGCGAGGAATGCCGGGGGGGACACATGCCTTAGGGGCAAGAGGGGCGAGTGAGTTGACGAAAGCTTTCTCGTCAATTTTGAAGTATTGAGAGAGAAGGGCTATAGCTTGACTGATGTCCATGGTGGACAGCGGTGGGGGGGGAGACGACGATTTTAAGCTAAGAAATCAGAGGTCCCTGTTCTGAGAAGAACAGGGCCTTGGGTGGCAGAGGGGGAGGGCTGACGTTCTATTCCCAGAAGCTGGGGTAATTGCTTCGGGCGCAAAAAAATTAATAACGCTCAATGTACTTTTAAATGGAACCGTTCTGAGATGTAATATATATTACATCTCAAACTATAAATATTTATTCCATCGAACGAGCAATATTTTCATATCGCTCGTTCGATGTATCGTGTCTGCTGTCTCTGTCTGTCATTATTAGAGTGAACTTGTGCGTATTGCGTAGAATACTCATTTGTTTTCTTCATCCAAGTTATTAAAAGTCTATATTCAGCATATTCCTCTGTAAACTTCATATGATTTGATATCCAGTATAACACATGTAAATCGAATTCTGCATAATCTTCCTCTGATGAACTGTCGAGTTTGTCTAGCAAAACAATATCCATTTTGTTTGAAATACAGTTTTGTTTGTAAACGACGCGTACGGTGTGATCCAGTGAAGAAAAGTGTTGCCACCTTGCAGAAAAATTTATCACTGGTTATGACCTGAAATTTACCCAGATTTTGGAATATTTTAACCAAAAAATCTCTAGGTTTCTCCAAATTATTTGAATAAAAATCACAAGTTAAGTAATAAAAATACTATTATGAAATATTATATTTTTAATTATGAAAGTAATTACAAAAAATAGAACACATAAAATCGAGACAGTATCCTGGTCACAGTTTCTTTAACGGATAGCAATTAGCCACCGTATATCACAAGAACGCAATGTTTTTAAGGGATTCTCGCCACAATTTATTGTCTCATAAGTATATACCTACTCTTCATAGCGTTTGTACTCGTCATAGCGCTTGGGTGAATGTGAGAACCAATTATAAGTTTCTCTAATGAGAAAATATATATTTCGTGGTAGCGTTTGCTCGGACGCATGTGCAACAGCTAATTGTAACGAGTGGTAAACACATTTGACTAGAATAAATTAGATACGCTATTATTGATTTCAGTCATGGTAGAGGTATTATCTACCCCAATTCCAATTAAGTTTTTATTAGAAGACCATGTAAACAGTTTACCAAGGCAGTAAAAATTCCACGAGCATTCGCGCTTCTCAGTAATTCTAATGCTAGAAATGCGGATACAAATAAATAATAGACACTTCACAATACCATTAGGAATTGAATTGAATGATTTCAATACTAAAATCACACGTTTTTTGACCTTCTTTCGCGAAAGCAACAGTATTCAGCCCCCACTAAAACAAACTTTACATACGTATATTAGGTTCTCATTATGAGTCGGAAAATCCTTAAGACAGGTTAGCATAACCTAACAAAGACGTCTAATAACGTTTTTGTTATACGAAAGAAGGATAGTGCTATTTTAACATAAACTGAGGAATTCACCGACGGGTAAAGAGTGTTGTCAATGTATATTTTCTAAATTCTTTTAGATTTGAGAAATATAACTAAAAGTCATCAAATAACTATAATTTTTTTTTTCAAAATGTTTCTATCTCATGCCAAAAATTCACAATGCAATCTAATGACAAAATCACAAAAGAGATGACGAACGCACACTGGCTGGTTAAAAGATATATCTCACAGTGTGAAAGCCAATCGCGGGATATAATTTACATCTCGAGATATTATATATATATATATATATATATAGTTTACGATATTATCGTGTATATATATATATATGATATATATATATACACATACGAAACACAGCAGAATTATGCCACAATTTCATGTTGGTGTTCTGCGAATATTATAATCTGATAACATAAAGATAGGTCCCTATTAACCATGAGTACATAGTAGAAACCCGCATCATGGAATCAAGTTGAACATAGTAACATACATTTACATAAAACATTACATAATATTTTCATAAATTATGTATATGAGTGCATATTGAACTAGGTACTTGCGATTGTAATGTAACAAGTGTGCAATAGTCGAAACAATGCGCAACAAAACATATTTATTTTACATTATTATCTAGACAGATGGTAATGTCTCAGCCATGTTCAGAAAAGATATGAACGACGCACCGGCAGTGTTCATATTAATTCCGAGCTACTTTCAAACGTTCCATAACTCATAAACTATTAGATCTACAAACTTATAACATCGCACACCTAATAAAACACACACACGCACACACACACACACACACACACACACACACACGCACACGCACACGCGCACGCGCACGCGCACGCGCACACGCACACGCAACGCACGCGCACGCGCACACGCACACGCAACGCACACACACACACACACACACACACACATATATATATATATATATATATATATATAAATGTTAGTATATGTCGGCACGTCTATTAAAATACTGGTTGGATCGGAAGTAAAGGTTTTACTCTAGCGAAGCATCGTATCTTTTGCAGCCATTAGTTAATAGGATTTTTTTTTAAAAATGTCATCGGGGAGCGTACCAGATGATTGCGACGAATTGTTACGATCTTGTCTTTTATGTTGCAATGCACGCATATTTGCGTAATCCACGTAGCTAACGGCATTAATGTAAGTATATCCAAATGTCAATGTATATCTTTCACCAGAAAACTTAACCCAATAGTATTTCCCTATAATTTTAATGGAATTTTAATTAAGAGGGTCACAGTTGTTCGGGATTTAGGCGTACTCTTCGATGTCGGTATGACCATGCAAGATCATATCAATAGTATATATAGTAAATCACTTCGTAATCATGGATTTGTCATGCGTACGTACATGTCTTCCATTTACGGAATTACTATGTTTTAAAATAGTTTATTTCTCGTATGTAAGATCCACGCTTGAGTATGCATGCCAGGTTTGGTCACCATTTTTTAAAATTTACATTAATAATATTGAAAGAATTCAACGTAAATTTATCTCACACCTGAACTATAAATTTAAACATAAAAGCTCATCATACATTTTAGATGGCTGCCGACACTATAACTTTCTTACTCTTGAAAAAAGACGTAAACTGATAGATATGGGATTTCTATACGATATCTTACGCGATGGTATTGACTGCCCGGATTTACTGAATACTGCCACGTTTAATATGCAAAGAAAACGTACAAGAATCACCAAGAAAACTTTGTTTAGTATACCTCGTCATTCCACACTTTATGGTAAAAATAGTATCTCAACACGTTTGCTATCAAATTATAACAAAACGTTTAATAACATCGATCCCTTTATAGGCACTAAAAGTGATTTTAGAAACAAGGTACGTACATGCATATTAAACACAGCTTCTGTTGTTTAATTTACTTTTATTTGTAAACGTAGGATGCCGGTAAGCTACATTATGTAGAAACACTTACTTTAGGTAGCTATGTCAAGTGAGCCATTTATATATTTTAATATATTTTAAAATATTCATGTACATTGGTGTGTATGTATACTTGTATGTATATGTGTAATGTTATATAGAATATATTTTGCCATGATATAAATAAATGAATTATAAAATTAACTCGAAAAGTAAATCACATATCAATTTGTCAGAAAGACCTAATATCTTAGTGTTAGTAAACCTAAATTACTTAATTTTATTACTGTTATTTTATTAAGTTGTTTTAATTTGTTTAATTTCTTATCTTAATAATAGCTAACCTTTATATTTAATATGTGGATAACTGTTATTGGCATACTTGAAGTAAATTTGAAATTGTATTTAGTGATATACGCTGTTGTTATCCTTATTAAAATAAAATAAAATAAAATCAATAAATACATCATACTTCCATGCTGTCGGCTTGGGACGCCGCGGGCGGATTATTTACCGCTGTTGCCAATCGATATTTGATGCGTAGGGAAAGTAAATTTGTCTTAAATATTGCTTCAATAAATATATTTCGAAGTAAAAATTTCCGTCGTTGTAACAACAGTAACAAATTTTTAATTGGTTGAGAGAAATACCTGAAACCCAAGTTTATTTCTTTGGGTGATTTTCTTTTTCTATGTGGGTGATTATATACCCTGTTAAATAGTAGATTTGCTTACTTCATTTTATTTTGTGTTTTGACTATGTCAACAATCATACCTTAGCCGTAGCTCAAAGAGTGGGTACGGTACGTGTAGTGTTGGTAGAGGTCTAGTTTAGTCGTCGTTTTAATTTGAGACGTTCTTGAGCGAGTTGGGGGCTCTTATTAGACAAAACCTACCGCGCCCAGTAATTGTCATGGGAGACCTTAACGCTAAATCTGCTGTCTGGGGTTCTCCTGTGACTGATGCGCGTGGCGAGGCACTAGAAGACTGGGTGACTATAACGGGCCTAACAGTGCTGAATCAGGGACCGGTCTACACATGCGTGCGGAGACAGGGAGGATCTATCGTAGATGTCTCGTTTGCATCCCCTATCATAGCAAGCCGCGTTCGTGGCTGAAGAGTTTTAGAGAATGTGGAAACGTTGTCGGACCATCATTATATTCAATTCGATGTCTCCACTTCTCCAAAGAATCAGAGCGTCAGTCTTCCGGTCAGAAGGCATATTTCACCGTTAACTAAAAGATGGGTATTAAGAGGTATGAATAGAGATGCTGTGATAAAGCCTCTATTGTCCAATCGTGGCTGTCCATACCAAATGAGCCTGTACAGGCTGGTTCGTTTGGTTGGTTTGGTGTACAGGCAGGTTGAGACGGAGGCAACTTGGTTTCGGGATGCTATGACACACATTTGTGATGCAAGCATTCCCGGCTACAAACACCCACCTCCTAGGCACCAGGTGTACGGGTGGTCTGTAGAGATAGCAGTTCTGTGTGCTAACTGTGTGAAAGCGCGGCGCCAGTACACCAGATATCGCAGAAGACGGCTCCGTAACGATACTGTAGAAGAACAGCTATACGAAAAGTATAAAGAATGCCGGTCCATTCGTGAGGCTAAGACTCGCTCACGAGAGGAGCTCTTAGAGACCCTTAACCGAGATCCCATGGAGCTCATTCTAGTTCATCCGAAGTGCTCGAAATTTGAGTTGCGAGATTCCATCCGGTCCGATAGACAGACACAGACAGACAAACAAAACATGGTTAAATAGGAACATGGTAAAATAAAAACATGGTAAAATAAAAAACCGTGTAGTGGCGGTTACGAATATCCACTACCCCATATCTTCCCGTGGGTGTCGTAAAAGGCGACAGAGGGAAACAAGCAGGAGATGGGCAGCAGCATCTTCCTGATAACAGCAACTGTAAGACAAAAAAAAACTGCGGTTGCCAACCCGCTCGCCAAGCGTGGCAACTATGGCAATATACCCCCCATGAACAATTACACAAATAGCGGCCCCCAGTCCCCGGCGGCCCCGCTATTCCTGGCTACGGTGGCGACCATGGTAACGGCGGGGCAGGGGGTGCTAAGAATCTCCGGGGGAGGTTCGGTTGCCACCTACGACGACTCGACCTGGCAACATTTA